TAAAGACGATTTAACAAACAGGAAGTTCAAGTTAAAGAAAATCAGTATGGTAAACTAAGTCCAATTTTGTTTTATGTGCATTTCTGGATCATGACCCAAAACAAACAACATGTGAAATAGAAAATAAGGCTCTAAAACCAAAACGTTGCCTTCAGGGTTTCTACAGGCATAAGGTCAAGTATAGAATAAAAAAGTTGGCTAATAGTCTCTGAGTTCATCACTATGATGAACTTACACAAATAGTTTTGATATGAAAAGAATAATATCAACTTTCTCTCTTTTTCTCCTTAGAAATGGAAGAAGAACTGGTTGGTCCTATACCCCGCCAGCCAAAATGGCATCGCCCGCCTCGAATTCTACGACTCGGCCTCGGGCGGCGGGGGCGGGGCCAGCGGGGGCTCGGGAAGCGGGTCCAATGAGAAAACCAGGAAGCTGGACAAGAAGATCATCCGCTTGTCCGAGTGCATCTCCATCCTGCCGGCGCTGACGGAGAGCTGCCCCAAAGACAACATGGCTGCTTTCTGCGTGGAAACCAACGACAAGACGCACGTGTTCGCCGCAGAGAAGAACGCCGCCAACGACTGGATGAATACCATGTGTGACATTGCTTTTCAGGTATGTCTTCTCTTTTCCCCCTCCTTTAGCTTCAGGCATGTGGATTTGTGTGTCATACAAGGCAGGTTGACTGATGCCATTGTGTGTTTGCTTTAAACAGTGTTTGCAGTCAGTGACACTGCGCACAGACATGGGCCGATGCGTGAGGTTTTAAGTCAAAGCTTCCTCCGTGTCTTTAACATGAGTTTGTGCTCTCATTGTCTCATTTTGTGAATTCAAACAAAGAAATATTCTGAATTTGTTAGGAAAGAACTGCTGCTTTAAATTTTTTTTTTTTTTAAACAATGTTTGCGTCAGTCTGCCAAATGTTCCCACAATGCCCCGGAGGGTCCTCGCAGGCCACAACTATTGTGTGAGCTAACACGCACATACACATGAACATAACATATCTGCAGAAAGGAAACCAGAGGGAGTTTCCTGGAGGAAGACTTCAGCCGCTTCACTCACTGTTGCACACACTAACACTAACTCTTCATTCTCTCTCCCTTTCATTATATCGCTCTTTCTCTGTCCTGTTTCGTGTTCATACTGAAAGCTCCCCGTTTCTTTATCTCTATAATCTTAAGAGCAAACTTCTGCATGTAAGTTGAAGAATAAAGGGTTCAGACGAGTGGTGGTGCAGCAGACAGAGGCAGGATGTAGGTATTTATTCTGCTGTAGAGATCACGCGTTTTTGTTTTCAGCACATCAGCTCTCAACACCAAAAGCTCTCTTGACATCTAAGTCAGTGACCTCTTCGTGTATAGCACAACTTTTTCATCCTCAGAAGTTTGTATTATTTTTTTTTCTGTTTTGCATCAGTTGCATGTGAGAAACATCCTCAACGCAACCTCTTGCTTGCGGTGAATCCTTCGGAGAATCTCCTGCTGTTTTCTCAAGTGAGCTCATTCGGGACATTATCCAGAGTTTTGAACTAAAGGGCCAGCAGGAGAAACTCCCCTTACTCGGACATCATGTCCAGAGATTTTCCGGAGTTTAGTGCATTTCTGATAGCAGCTTCTGTGTGTCTTTGTCCACAGGGAGGCAGCGGAAGCAGCGGCAGTACGGTCGCAGACTCTAATGGAGGACCCCAGGACATGCAGATGTCTGAAAACCTCATCTACTACACCAGAGATCAAGGTGAGGATAAGACAGGCTAACATTATTTCAAGATTTCAAGAAAACGTTGCATTATAGAAGAAAAAAGAATTTAATCAACATATGAGTTAAGCATATCCCTCATCCTCTCCTCGCAGTGAACGAGTTCTGGGTGAGCGTTCAGCGCACTGAGGCGTCGGAGCGCAGCGGGCTGGCGGGGAGCTACTGGCTGAAAGCCGAAAGCGATGTCTTGATCTTGAAGGAGCCGATGACCAAGAGGAACGTCCTGGTATGGCCCTACAAGCTGCTGAGGAGATACGGGAGAGACCGGGTGGGTACTGTTGAGAAATGATTTTTGACAACAGCTGACAAGCAGGATGAGGAAGCTTGTTATATGTAGATATGTATTCAGTCACATGAACTGGGACACACATTCAACTCTGTTAACTTCCCGTAATTTGTCCCTCACTCCACAGGTAATGTTTTCTTTCGAGGCTGGTCGGCGCTGCGACTCGGGCCCCGGCAACTTCACCTTCGAAACCAAGCAGGGCAACGAGATCTTCATGCTGGTGAACCAGGCCATCCAGTCCCAAAAGGCTCAGGCGGAGGAGCGCCACCTCAGCGGCCCCTTCAACTCCGACCCAGACTGCCCCTTGTCGCTGCAGCACATACGCAATGCTGCCACCGTGACGGGGAGCGGCGACAGCAGCAGCTGCAGCAGTCGAGAGGCGGACGGCGATTCAGGCGGCAGCAAGCCGGGGTCTGCTGACGGCGTGCTGGGGAAGAGAGAGGTGGGAGACGGAGGGGGAAGTGGAGCAGGAAGTGGAGCAGGAAGAGGGCAGGGAGGTGGAGCAGCAGCAGGAGCAGCAGCAGGACATAAAGGCAGGAGTTTACCAGAACCACCAGCCATGTTGGGGGGTTTGGGAGGGGGAGGGGCTTGGCACTCGGCAGGAAAAGGTCTTTCCTCAGCTGAACACACAGGACTTTATTCTGAGCCAGCTGACTCGGTCCGTCTGCCTCTGTATGGTGCTGACTGCCTATACTCAGACCCGGTGGACAGCATCAAGGGGCAGAACCAAGCTAGCAACTCATCCACCCCTCCAGTGCCCACCCCACGACTCCGACCTGTGGGAGACGAGGCCTCGGCAGGTGGTGGCATCCAAGGGGATCATCACCACAGGAAGCCACCTGACCTGTATTCACATGTGTACGACCAGATCAGCCTGGAGTTACTTCAGAAAACAAGTGGTCTGAGTCTGAACGGGGTGGCAGGGGGAGGAAGGGGGGCGGGAAGAGGGTTGAACAGTAACAGGCGACCCCCTGGAGGCCAAGCAGAGGGCGCTGCGTCACCTCCTGCTGTTCCCTTGGAGCACATATACGATGAACCTGAGGGCTGCGCCAAAGGATGCGTGAGCGCACCCACGAGTTTAGAGATAACTATTTACAGCGAGGCCCGTTTGGAGCCTCACAGCCAGAAAAGACAGGAAGCGGTTGTGGCCCCGTCAGGACCGGAGGGGCATTACAGCACCCCGTCCCTCGGACACTCCCCGCCGCAGCTCAGCCCGAGCCGTGTCACAGCGCATCCTCCGGCAGCTGTGAGGGGGCGAAAACCGGTCACTGCTCCCAAACCAGGAAGGGACATATTCAGTCGGAAGGAGCCAGTTCCACTGCCCCCTGGGAAACATTGCGGTAATATGAACAACAACAACAGTTTGGGAAGAAGAGGAAAAGGGAATGAGCTGTACAGTGAGGTGTCCAAACAGAAGCCTGTGAGCTCCTGGTGTAGCCAGCACCAGCAGGTGCCAGTGAGACCACCTGATGTTATCTATGACAACTTGGGAGATATTTAACATCTTTATTCTAAAAGTGGACTGAACATTTTTATCCTTTTAAAAAAGAGATGAAGAATAAAATGAGAACTAAGCACATTTTCTCATTTCTTCCGTCTTTGGACTGGATTAATTATTTGAGACAATCGATCCCTTTGCTGTGGATTAGCTCACAACTATGAGAAAACCACATCATGATGGTATTTTATGCAACCGTCGTCGGGCCACCCTCTGTGTGTGTGTGTGTGTGTGTTTAAGAAAGAGGGAGAGTGAGTGTTTGTATGGCGAAACCCATAATTGGTGTACGAAGCCACAGTGTGGTCGGAGAAACAGAAACCTTATGGATTTGCCAAAAAGAGCTCGGCCTACAGGCTTCACTGCAACAAGCTGAGAGAGCGGCTTGGTATGAAGTGACTGGGAAACTGTTGCTTTACTGTTTCTCCGCAGTTTGAGACAATGTGACGACAACGAGCTGTTCTTTGGAGCTTTTTTTTTTTTTGCGTGCCTTGGACTTGGAACTTTTTTGTTCTCTGGACTGATGACTTATCTCAAATCCCACCAAAATAAAGAGAGATGTAGAACATTTTCAGCCCAGAACACTAATATGTGAGGTGGTTGCACCTTCAGATCCACATGTTGGAAAAACTTCTCTGTTCCTGTTTTGGAGGAAGCATGAAAGTGGGATTTTAGGACCCTATGTTGACGTACAAGGTTCATAAAGGAGCTTTAGATTTAAAGTGGCCACTTCCTGCACAAGATAATATAATTTTATGTTTCTATGTACAGAGTAAACTAACCAACCCCCTGTAATGTGTCAGTACAGCTGTGCTGTCTGTGAATATAACTAAAAATAAAAATTTCTCTGACAACATAAAGCAACAGACTCCCCTAAATGCAGCATCACTGCTTCCCCTGTGTGTTTTATCTCATCGTGAGCCAATTAGACGCAGTTATCTTGTGTTTGAAAAGACTTTTCTGTTCTGGAGCGAGCGGGACAGTGAAACAGTCTGACCTCATCCTTCACTTCCCTCCCTCAGCCACGCTCTGTTTTTGTTGTTACAGGCGGTTTCCAACCACTTAATCGCACCGTTAAAGTTGAGCCTCGAAAAACGAAACAAAGACATCCTTTCTTACTTTTCCTGTCTTTCTTGCTTCCTTTCTTTTCCTCCCTGCGTTAATTCTGTTGTTGGGTTGCCGTGGTGACAGTTAATGGCGGCCTGTTCGTGTCGGACACGCCGTGCATTTCAACTGCAGCGAAAATGGGAAGAGGGAGGGAAAAAATGCAGCGGAGAAAAGGGGTAACATGTTGGTGATTATCCTGAGCTGAGGATGAGGACGGGGAAAAGAAAGGGATGTAAATGAGCAGAGAGCAGATGAAAAAGAGGCTGACGTGATGAATGCTGGCTGCATGAACCTGTCTGCGTCTGGTTGGCTTACAAACCAGTACAAACTGTTCCCTTCACTGCCGCCGCCGCCACTGCTCTTCATCCTTACTTGTCCCTCTCTTTTATCCCCCCCACCTGCTGCTGGAGAACTTTCTGGACAGGAAACGTCTCTAAAAAACTAAGTGACTTGCAGAGAAGAGGGAAGAAAAACAGAACTTCTGCCTTTCTCATTAAACTCAGGGTGAACTTATTGAAAAGGCTCGACGGGGGAAAGAGCGCACACACACACTCACACTCACACGCACACGCACACACACACACACACACACACACACGCATGGTGGTGCTGTTTTTATGCTTCTTTATATAACTCATCAGTTCCTTGTTAACATGTCCAAAACAAGCTACCTACTCAGTCTGGTGTGTGTGTGTGTGTGTGTGTGTGTGTGTGTGTGCGCGCTGAAGACTTGGACCACATTCTGGTTGACACTTTTCAATTCGGGCCAAATCACAACACACTTTATCTCAAAGCAGACTTTATGATATTCTAAAAAAACCCGACAGTTCCCACAATGAGCAAACACTTGGCGAGTGTGAGGAGAAAAAAAAAAAACCTTCCCTTTACCGGGGGAGAAACCTTGAGCAGAAGCAGGACTCGGTGTGAGGACTGTGAGGGGAGGAATGGACAGAGAGGAGAGTGAGACCAGGAACAGTTGTGTAACCATAACACTTCAGCTCAGACTGGTTGTTATGATGAAAAAAATAATAATAGTGATACTTTTAGATGTAATGATGTTATTAATGATAGTAGCAGCACAAACCTAATGACACTTCAGACACTGCTCTTAAGTGTGTTCACTGGAATAACGATCATTTCGATGTTTTTTCTCGTATGCGTTTATCATCAGGATTTAACATTAAACTTTGGTGCGAGTCCAGCAAAGTCTTTTTACTTTCTTAATGGGCACGGTCACATATATGCAAATGCAAAGCAAACATCCGGGGTCAAAGGTCAACAAAGTTGGACTGCCGCACTGCGATATGCTTTGCCGCTCAGATGAAGTGAACGGGACGGCCCTTTTTCAATATCTAGTGAATTTAAATGTGGTTTCAAAAGGGGACCATTCTAGTTTGATATTGTGAATAATGATAAGAAGTTTGTGCTAAATTGAAGTAGATTTACTCATAGCTGTAGCACTAGTTTTAAAAAAAAACCTTTTTCTACTATTTCTAGGCTTCAGATGCCCTGACTTCCTGTTTCCTCACATTAACGACAAGCCTCTGCACAAAGCTCCAGCTAAAAAACTAACTTGTGGTTGTGGCGTCGTATTTAACGGACACATGTGAGCGTGGTATCTTCACCTTTTACTCAGGGAGACAGTGGAAAGACCTTCTGTAAAGTTTGTCAGAGTTTCTTCTGTGTAGCTACGATGAGTCTGAACACAAATACTGACAGAAAGTATCCGGGCTTCTCTGGAGACTGTGAACTCATCATGATTTAGATGCTTTTAGACAATTCCTAATTTGAAATATCACTTGAATCAAATTTAAATAGAACTTCACCAAAACAAACTGCTCACTTTCTGTCACCAACCCCTTCCTCACATTTCTCTCCTCATCTGCTTTGACCTTTTACACATCTGCAGAAACAGTTCAACGACTGCCTGATGTCTGTGTGTGTGTGTGTGTGTGTGTGTGTGTGTGTGTGTGTGACAGCTACAGACAAGTCTATGTTTGAAAAAGTACGAACACCCCTGTTGGTGTCAAGTTTCTTCAGCTCGCATCGCTGCTGCCCTATCACCTTGTGTGTATTCCTGTGTGATTGTGCCTGTGTGTGTGTGTGTGTGTGTGTGCTCGGTATTAGTATCTGTGCCTACATGCTGAAAAAGCATATCTCACTTCATAGTTTCAGATCCACCTCTGTGAGCTCAAGAGCTGGAGAAATGTCAAGTCATTGGAAAGTACTTCAGTTTTACAGTGCAGAGACGAGATGGATCAGCGAGGGGTTAAACACCAGAGACATCACCTTCTGACTTTTTCAGGGTCTCTTGTGGAAGCTGACTGTTTTTTTAAAGGTCACGTCAGACGTACAGACAGAGGACTTGACATCACACAAACAAACAGGTGCATCTTCTCCTGCAAAAATGTTTCATCTTGAGAAAGAAAAAATCGGGATTATCACAGAGCTTTATGAATAAGAAACTAGGGGGACTGGACGTAATGTGTGCTGAGATCCGAGATATGTCAGAAGCTGAGTTGCTCTCACACACACACACACCTAATAACTTTGTTGTAATATACATATTGACATATAGCACAATATGTTATGTCCTTAGCTTGTTAATACAAATTAGCTGCAAGGTTGAAAGAAACAAAAAAAAGGTTTTTCTCTGCCGAAAAGTTGCGACCCAACAAATTCACAGCTGTCAGCTGCACTGTTTCCTGAATCTGTTGTCTGATGGTAACATGAAGCATACGAGACCTGACGTTACAGTCTGATAGAAAACGACGACTCGTCAGCTCTGCCTTACCCTGAAACCCAAGAGACCACCAACTGTTATTTTTAGCTCTGTGTAGACAAACCCATTCACTGGTGTGTCTGAAAAAAGAGTTTCACTCTCTCATTCTCTGCTCTCGGAGTTGTACCTGAAGGAAATGCCTGACTCTCGATCCGTTTCTTGCAAATAAAGGGGATGCCTATGAAGAGGAACGTGTGTATAAAGGGATATTTATCCGTTTCCAGCCTGGTTTGGTGGCTCGAAAATATTTTAGGACAATAACGAGTTCATGGTTAACCTCTGGAGCGGATGAGGTGACAGGAACTGGTTTTCACAGTGATTCACGAGTTTGTGGCAAAGACATGCTAATAAGCAAATCAGACATCCAGACTTAAGACCTGCGTAGGAGTCGAGACCTTTTTGGATTTCTGTCGGCGGGATGATAATTCACGTCCCTGCAGCCTCCTGACTTCACCTCCTCGCTTCCTCCTCACTGAGATGCACTTCCTCTTTCTGTTCTTACTCACAGCAGCTTATGAGAGAGTTGATTATTCTCTGCCCGTAACTTGTGTTTGAACTGTGACTCTTGTACTGCCTCGTGTCCCTGCCCTGTCTTTCTGTTTGTGTACGTCCAGTGGCGACAATCGCAGGAAAGAGACAGTGCATTATAGTTTATGAGACAGTTAGAGTCTGGCAGAGGGTTTTTTATTCTGCAAAGAAGGAAATGGAACAGTGCGAATCAAGCAGGAAGTCCCAGCACTAATATTAACCCGACTCAGATACAGAAGCTGATGAGGCATAGACAAAATATTACTGCACTTTTTAGACAGGCCGCTGACCACAAAAGATCTTTATTTTAAGGGTTTGGTCGGAAAGATCCAAAACACTTCATGCGAGAATAGTTACAGAAAACTGAGTTCATCAGCTGATGTGAGTTCACCGTCTGCAAAATGAGACAAAACGGTGCAGTGAAAGGTCATTTCTACACCCTCAGGAAACAAAGAATCTGAACTCGAGCGACAAACTGTCTCCTGTGCGGTGGTTAGTGATGACTGGTTCTGGTTGCGTACTCTTTTGTGTGTCCTTTTCTGAAAGTAACACTGACTAAAACATGAATCTCAAGTCCCAGCACCAGAATCAACTAATTTCACTAATCTTTGATTCTCTGATGAATGTTGAATTATTTTATTGACGAAATGTGATGTGAGGGGTGGGCTGTTGAACTTTTAAAGTTTTAACTCTTTTAAATTGTTGGCAGAACTGAATAAAGTAGAACGGTGCTTGGAGAGCGCACACACCTATCTTGCCCGTTCACATAATTTCAGGGAAATCAAGTGACTCGTTTTTTAATAGTCCTGCTAGCTCTTAAACACTAACAAACACTGAATAGAACATAACCTCCTTGGCAAAAATTGATTTCAGAAAAAATAAGCTTGATGTGAGCAAAATCTGAGGTTATATTTTCATCTGCATGTCTTTGTTTGTTGGTTAGCTGGCATGATGACACAAAAACTAGCACAAAACACAGTGGAACGATGCAGAATTGATCAGGGAAGAACCCAGTACATTTTATGTTCTTGCAGGATTCAGGATTGGGTGTTTTTCTGAATTTCTGCCTTGGTAAGGTATGTGCTGCACTGAGTGACCTTCTAGTTATACGGTTTCTTTAATGTTGCCCTTTAACACGTGGTTTTCTGACTCAGAACACATTACTATTGATGACTGTAAAGATAAGAGTGTAATCTATTAATAAATACACTCGTTTATATTTTAACTATTTTCATAGTTCTGTAAATCTGTGACAGTTTCCATCCTGCAGGCAGGAGGTGAATGGATGAGATATGTTTCGAAGCAACTTTTATTAATCCACAGCTCATAAACTGTTTAACATACATACAACTCTGATTATAACAAATAAATAAATATACATATATAAATATGTTGAACTTACAAAAAGATCAAACAACAGCTGAATCACAAATTAAGCAACTGGTGTGAATTAACAGAGAGAACAAACTACTTCAATCCAGGTTCTTTCCTTTAAGAACAGTGAACTAGATTAAAAACACGACGACACGAAGGCTGAACAGGAACACGACTGATCTACTTTGAGATAAATATGTTTGTCATGTAAAACCACAAAGAACAGAAAAGCTCAAAAGGGGCGAAGACTCACCACAAACCTTAAAGAACCCCCTCTGAATGAATTTGCAAACACAAACAATCACACTTTTGTTGCCGTAGGTCACGTCCCATTAATGTCTCACAGTTGTGACATTTCATGAGGAGTGTGTCTGACTGTGTGGGTCAAACGGAGGAACTCTGGCCGCGGGGAGAAAGAAGCTGCTGTGGTTCTGTTCGAACAAATGTTTGAGATTCAAACACTCATCTTCAGCTGGTGAGCACCAACAAGGAAGTACTGAGTGAGGAAGGAAAGGACGGAGAGAGAGAAGTGGGTAAAATGTCAGCGGGTAGTTTTGGACGTGCAGTTGAATTCTCCTCTGAGACAAAAGCATCGTTGTGGTTGTAATTTGGCGAAATGCGGAAGTCCCGCAACATCACAACGTCATGAAGTCATGGACCCTAAGGTTCAATGTGGGGGTGGAATGGCGGGAGACTGATTAAGCCTATAGCGTGTGTGTGTTGGTGTGGATGACACCGCTCTTTGACGAGTAATAAATTAATAAAAGGGATGATGGATGTTTGTAATGACCAGAATCTACATATGAGCATGAATCAACAATATTCACCGATTGGTCAGAATTCAACTAGTGTCACCGCATGCACTCTAACCCCTCAACATACACACGCACTGGAAATTCTTTATGGTAAAGTTACCATGTTTAAAATCAGTTTTCTCTGTTCTCCTTCCATCCACCCTCCACCCCGCTGCCTTTCAAACCCCACAGAGAGAGCTTGCTGTGGGGGTGAAGGCGAGCAGAGAGGCCCCTCTGTCTGCTGCTTTCTTCTCTGTCTCATTAAAACAGTGAAGCTGTGTTCAGACTGGGACTTAAGGGCAAAATGGAAAAAAGGAATGTGCATATGTGTTTGTCTATAAGTCGCTATAGTATCAAAGCTGCTGTGCTTCTGCTTTATTACGCCCTCAGTTGTATTTCTGTCACTGGTCTCTTTGTGTTTGGAGATTTTTGTGTTTTACTGCGCGTGTTGGTGGCTGTGCTGCAACACACCGACGGTGCTTTTTATACATGCATCAGCTTTTAATCTCTCTCACCTCCCCACACCACAGATTTTTTGGTAATTTCTTTATTAGTCTTTTCCTTCCATCGTCCATCCTGTTTCCCTTCTTTTCATTTTCTCTTCTGCTTTTTAAAAAAAGTTTTAAACAATCTAAAGAAGGCAGTGAACTGAAACTTTCCTTCTGACATGCCCACACACACTTGGCTAATCGGACACCATCTTGAAGTTGTTGAGTAATTAGGCAGCTGTAAAACACACACAGAAAATAGACTTGTTGCACTTTTGGTGGTTATAGCTTCTTTTCACACCTTCTTTTCGTCTCTATTTATTCTTACCACACTTACAACACAAGCTAGATGTGACTTTAACAAGCCTCAGTGTGCGTGCGTGTGTGCTACACTGTTGCCCTTTGAATTGACATGTTGGCTTTTCAAAGTGTTTCTATGTTAAATGACTTGTTAAGAATGTTATTCACTGCCTCTCTCTCTCTCTCTCTCCCCCCCCCCCCCACTGTCATTGTATTGCTCTCTCGGCCCACTCACCCTCTGGTTGCTCTCACTATATTATCATGGAGTCATCATTGTCTTCCTCCTGTCGAGATGGAGCAGGGGCCCGGTGGCTTTTGCCGCTGCTACTGCTGAGGAGTGTCAGAGCCAGACGGGAGGCCTTCGCAGACGGAGGCCCCAGGACGGAGGAAGAGGAGAAGGAGGAAGAGTGGAGGGAGAACGAGGGCATCGGCGCCACAGTGGCCCTGACCTTGCTGTTTGATCCCAGTTGGCGACTCTGGTTTTGTGGCTGAATGGAGACAATGCACACCCTTTAGATTTCAAAATCACAACAATACATTTAAGTTCTGAAAACACTCGATAAATAGGTAATGTATTGAATACTGCAGGAGAGAGGAGGGGTAAAGAAGTAGTGAGATAAGAAAGAGAAAGAGGGGGAGGCTGCAAATAAGGTTGAACAAAAGAGAGATAAAGTCAAGAGAAGGACATAACAGAGTGTTTGTATAAACAATCCAAAACATGCAGCTAAGTGTTACCACAGTGGATAAAACGAACAGAACAAAATGTGTCCTTCTGCAGAACAGAGAACACATTTCCTGTTTCTCTGTTGTCGTGAACGATTTGCATGTTATCATAAGAGCCTAACATAGAAGGATGAACTGCAACAATCTGTTTTAAGAATGATGGGTTAGAGATGCATCAAATGCAAATAGGTCTAAATCCCAAGCTGATGCATATATTGTAACATATTAAGATTCATGGTAATCGGTCCAGTAGTTTTTGTGTAATGCTGCCCTAACCCCTTACACACAGACGAGTCAACAATAAAACACATAAACCTCTTCGCAGAGGTAATAAAAGTTTGAGTCCACAGGCTTTGTGGTCCTTTGGTGGGACCTACTGGACTATAAACTATATATAAACTGAATTCAGTTAAAGTAGTTAAAACTAGCTCCACCTTCAACTGACTACAGCAGTAAAATAATGCTGTTTTCTCAATTTATTCTAACATTACTGTCAATACTGTACTCACTTCAGTGGGGTTTTTAATGCAGGAGAATGAAATAGTAAGTAAGACGTGTCTGATTCTAAACTTGTTTCAGAGGCATTGCACGTCATCCACTGAGGTAACAGATGCTGTTAGAGTTGTGGTTGGAAAAGAAGTCGAACCACCTGAAATACATCGACGGTCAGACCTCAGCAGTTTGCTGCATCACTTCCCTTCAGCAAAAAAAATTATCCTTCACATAAAGATCAACTCTGTACTTGTGTGTATGTGTATTAGCAGTAAGAGCTTCACTGTATCTGGAGAGCGCTGCCATCCAGTGGACAAGGAAGTGAGAAGTGAGGAGGACAGAGGTTTATAAAAATATTTGTGCTCCGGGTTCAGATATAACGTTGGTCTTTAATCATGTCATAATGGTTGTGTTTATAGATGTAAGAGGCACATCATGACCTTTACACTGTCATAAAACTCTGTTGTTTACCTGTCGAGGCTGTCTGCCAGCTGTGGGTTTAGCGCCCTCTGCTGGTTGCGACTGGTCTCTGAGGACAGCTGTTGGCTGGAGCCTGGAAGCAGCAATCATCATCATCGTCATCATCATCAAAATGAACATCATGCTGTAATGACACTAGTGATTGAGACTCAGTGTAATAATGTTCAGTCATTTTCTCAGAGACTACAGGTTTCAGGTATCTGCACTGGCTTCCCCTGCAGTCTTAGTCCATTTTTATTTACATGTTTTATACACAGGTCTATGGCGCTGACCTGTATGGGTAGCGTGGCTGTGAGAGCAGGCCTCTGCTCTTGAGATGCTGGTAGAGGTTAGTGCTCAGAGAGAGGGGGTTGAACACAAACTCCTCGTCCAGCTGAGTGAGACAACTCTGACACACCGAACAGAGACAGAAAACATGCAGGTATCCACCAAACCAGCACATCAGAATGTCTACACTGTTCTAAAGTTGATACTTTTGTGGTTCCTCGTATCAGCGCACACATTTGTGATTTACATTGATCTATAGTATTTCTACTTTCTGAATGCTTCTGTCTGTGTGTGTACCGTGTGTTCAAACCTAACCTGCACTGTCTGCATGGCATCAGGTGCAGGGTCCTGAGTTAAGATAGGCTGATGGCAGGGCAGCAGCAGCTCTCTGGAGACCACAGGCTTCAGAAGGAGGGTGAGAGACGGGGACGGCTGGAGGACATAGTGAGAATACACACCTGTGTACACACAAACATACAGATGAGTGCATACACGCACACACACACACACACACACACACACACACACACACACACACACACACACACTGACCTGAGCTTTCAGCTGTAGACCTCTGGGCAGGCTCCACCTGCAGCAGCAGGAAGAAATCACGACTCTGAAAAATAGAATATGTCACAAAATGATTGTGAGTTTGTTGGTTTGGTTTGATTTTACCAGGACTACTACTGTACCAATTTGAATGAACTTGTGTTTGGAGATGGGACATGATCCAATGAAGAACCCTTTCAATTTTGGCATTGTTATTTTTCTTTAACATTGTGAGTTTTTCGTTTCTCTGAGTATAATTCATAGATCTTAATGAAAACAATCAGCCATGTTTACTGATATTATCTAGTTAAATGTGGTGTCATAAGGGGTCTATTGGGCCTTGGTGGATGCATGCCCTCTATTGAGTCTCATTCTCGCTTATTTTTATTTGGATTTTACAAGACTTTTGCAGTTTTTGAGTTGGTCATTTAATTTGTTTTTCTGTTACTTCCTGTTTTACTTTGAAGTCTCTTGCCATGTGTGTCTTTTGCTGGTTTTACTCCCTGTTTTTGTTTAATGTGTTTCACCTGTGCCCTATTATCCCTGTCTACCGTGTGTGTTGAGCCTGTGCTCCCTTTGTTTCTGCTGTTCCCTGGTGTTTCACCTTGTTTCGAGTTTTGGACTAACCTGAGTTTCTTCTTACCTGCCAACACAGACTGTGAGACTTAACTTATTCCTTATTAGATATTCTTTCTGCAGCTTCCTGCCCTCTCTGATGTTTGCTCTTCAAGTTCCTCTTACCTCCACCCCACTAAACAAATATGATTAATACCAATCTATTCTAAAGCCTACAAGCTGGTTTCTGTAATGCAAACACACACAGATTGGCAGAATGAGATAAAACATCCTGGAATTATCTAAACAGTCCAAGATATGAATATGTGGAGCTGTAACAGAAACAGTGTGGTCTCAGCTTAGACAGTCAAGTGAGATCCATAAGTTTTGTTGTTGTCAGATGTTTCATAAGTTCATTTTGAGGCATTCTGTCAATGTCCAAATTGTGAGTCACACACCCTGAGTGTGCAGCAGAGTGCGTGGAACAAGTTGTGGTTGGACTCCATCTCTTCCCAGTCCAGCTGCCAGCAGGTGGTGGGACGGATCACCAACGGCAGGCCGTATAACACACTCTCACACACTCCTTCTGCACGCAGAACCCTGTAACACACACACACACACACACACACACACACACACACACTTCTTTATAAGGAACTTTCATTTTGTACACTTACCAAACTGTACAAAATGAAAGACTGGTGTGTCTCCGACTTCATAACTGAAACATTTATGTACAGATCAGTCATGAAAACCAAGTTTTTTTTCATCTAGGTCCTGAGATGTGTTTCAGCAGAATACAGCAGAGGAACAGGATGACATCATCCCTGCTGAGGTAAAGTGTGACCATCATCCAGCTTCATTTGAATGTCACTGCTGCAAACCATTGTTAGTATGGAAAGTACACACACACACACACACACACATACACACACACACAGTAACTCTGATATTGACCTGTATGCAAAACACACACACAGTCACAAAAAACATCTTACAGCAGCTCCTGGAAATGTAAAACCAATGCAAATCAGGGAAGAAAAAGAAACCATTGAGCTGGTTTAGGCCTGCGTATCTGCTTTCAGTTATTAGTGAGGCAGTGTGTGTGTGTGTGTGTGTGTGTGTGTGTGTGTGTGTGTGTGTGTGTGTGGGCTTGTATTATCAGTCTTTGAATATCACTCCTCTCCTCTATTATTCAGTGTCATGTGCTGCTTTTTCACCCTGGGTGTTAACACTGATTAGGTCTGATTGGGATCTTTGTGGGGTTTGCAGAGGAAGTGAGAAATGTGGTTGTTTAGGTTGTTGTTCACCAGTGTGCAGGCGTATATTTATTCCTCAGCATGTTAAACACTAATGTCTGACTTGTTTCAGCAGTTGAGGATTGACAGTTTGGTTTCTGACACTTTGACTTCTGCTGCATTTGGCCTTTTTCATGTGGATCAGTCCCCAGTTATATGACAGAGCTACTAACTTGCTAAGCTCCAAGCTGTAATCTAAGAACTTCTAACCATCACTGAGTACCTGAGGATCATTTACCATAACCAGTGTTAGTGGTACAGCTCCTGATTGGCTCCTGCTGAATGGGACAGATCTGAGATTTGCTTGTCAGTTGCTGCCTGACGTCTTACTTGATTATTTTCAGTCTCTGTGGCGGTGGGCTCTGACTGGCCGGGCCCTTGGCGACAGACTGGAAGTCCCGAACACTCTCTGTCTTTACTCCCAAGTTGGGGGTCAGGGGGATGAGTGCAGGGCTTATCAGACGCTCCTGCATGTCACACTTCACACACACTACGCAAGGGACAAATTACATAAGTGCAGGATATAATATGCAGAAAAAAAATCTTGGTTTTAGCACCAGTTTTGATATTCTTTCTACAATGGGAAAACATTTGTCACATATATTGTCCCATTTAAACTGTGTATTAGTAAACTGTATATTTTCATTGCATCATGCCCAAAATATATTCCTGTGTGTGTGTGTGTGTGTTTGTGAGCGTTGTATCTAACCTGGGATGGGACTGTCCATGGGGCTCGGCAGCAGGAGGTGGAGGTGCTCTCTGTCACCTCCCTGCTCCTGAAGCCATGATTTCAACACACTCTCCACGGCGAACACGCTGTTTTCCACTCGCTGCAGGTCGACCTCCGTCCCCAACATCAGACACTCTACAGACAGACACAGGGATGCATAAATATGCAGGTGAAGGTAGACTTTAAAAAAAGACGAGGTTTCAAATTAGTTTCTTTAAATGATTTAGCTAAAGTTTAACATCTTCTCTACTCTTAAGGACATTCCTGGGGAAAATGAACTTTTAAACAATTTCCCTCTGTGACCACTAGATGGAAGCAACATATAATAAATTCAAAAAACAGTGACTGAAGACTCTGAACTTGATGAAATCTGAGGCTTTATCCAAAGTCCTTTTTAAGCTTTGGATGAAAATGCCTGGTGTTGATTTGCTGAAGGGGAAAAAGCAGGAGTGCAGTTTGGATGAAGACACAAGACGCAGCCTGATAATTGCTCTTCTTTGGTTTATTATAGTAAATTGATGTCTCCATCTTTTTTTCTTTGCGTTATCTCAGAGGACACACTGAACTGTTCCTGCTCTCTGGCTCCTTTTTCTCCTGATTTCCACTTATCATTACAAAGAGAAAAAAAAGACCTGCCCCACCCACCTCCTCTCCTGCTCTCCCTCTGTGTCCATTTATTATTGCAAACGAGACACAAACCTTATAGAGTGGCCCTCTCCTCCTTTTCCCTCTATCTGGTGTTTAATAGTTAATGACCCATCAGGAGATAACTAATGGGACTAAAGGGAGAGGAGATTAGCAGGAGGCACTGTAGCGGGTGAGGGGAGGTACAGACAGGGGAGAGGCCGAGATAAAGGGAGATGAGTGAGGGAGGATGATTATTTAAAACATCCCAGTAGAGAACTAGAAATAATACAATTAACTACATAACTGCAATAACTACAATAAAATATGTCAATGCTACTTTTTATCCATCAAAGGGAGATGCAGAACTGAATTTTTGATTCTGGGCAAAAGTAAAAAAAAAGTGCTTCATCTAGGAATAAGAACTTGATCTGAGGAGAAAGAATTATGTTAACTGAAGGATGTTTGTGGTCTGGTCCTTGCTGCGTGAAGGATGAAGGCTGAGAGAGAGAGAGACAGCAGATTAAGAGGGTAACAAAGCGTGAAGTAATAGCACTTTTGCTTTACAAGTTCCCCTTTATGTGTCCAAAAAAAGCTGTAAAGTCAAGATGCTTTGCTCTGAACCGTGACACATGCTGCACTGCTCTTGCTAAGTGAACTGTGGATTAAAGAACTAGTAGGCATTCTTTAAATCTTAGGCTCAGAACTATAACAAGACATGTATTCTTCTGTATACGGGTATCAGCACAGTTATGATTCTGCAGGAAAAATGCAAAATGACTGCAGAGAAAACTAGTGGATCTAGAACAAGGAGGATAAAAATCACACTAATTCAAAAATAATTAGAGAGAGACAGAATGTACCATTGAAAGAGTAAGAGGGAGGATGTGTTCTGGAAATGGTGATGGGAGAGATAAAGAGAAAACTACTAGAGATGGTCAGAGATGGAGGAAAAAGGGTTGTGGCAAATCGATACCCACTCGCTCCAATAATGTCTGTCTGGGGAATAGGAATGGAGGAAACAGAGCGAGTGAGAGAGGGAGGGGGGGCAGAATTATGGAAGTTGTTAGAGTAAAGAGGGGAAGAAAGTATAAATTACAGAAAGAGAAGGCAGGAAGGCACAGGAGAAGAGGACGATGAGATAAGATAGCCAAGGAGAGGGATGGGAGTGGTGGGTGAGGGATGAATCACACTGTTGGAAATACTTGTAATTAGAAAACTCTGTGTGTGTGTGTGTGTGTGTGTGTGGTGTGTGCATGTGTTTGTGTACCAACTTGCTTTTAAATTTAGATTGGGATGAGGCGTATGTATTATGCGAATTTAAGTCCTCCTTAAGATGGAAGAAGAGTGTGTGTGTGTGTGTTTGTAAGAGATAAACAGGAAAAAAGGAAAGAATCTTCTCACAGCAGCATAAAACCACCCAGACAGTTATGAGTGTGTGTGTGTGTGTGAGTGAGTGTCAATATCTATATATTCCACAGAGAAATACGTTACCAGCCGAGTGGAATATAGGTGAGAGCAGTTAACCCTGATGTGAACTGAGGTAATGATGCTGTCTGTCTCCCTCCAGCAGCCTTATCTGCATTCATGAAGGATTTGTTTACGTTGCTAAATCCTCCCGTCTCTCTCTCTCGATCTTTGCGGAGTTCATGAAGTGTGTGTTGACTGTACGAAAAATATACGAAAAAAATAATCAATTACGCTTTATCATCCCTCCCTTCCCAGATGTTCCTGTTCTCTTTGCCCTGTCTGTGTGGAAGATTAAGAATCTATTAAATTATGAGGCAGACCATGTAACTGAGCCCTCTCATCTAAAAGTCTAAGAGCTTGCCTGAATCTCATTAACATGTCCTGCATGTGTGTGTGTGTGTGTGCATGTGTGTATGAGAGAAGATAAGAAGTGACACTCATGCTGAGGTAAGGAAGCACAGTCGCAGGGAATCTCATTAAGTGAGTGTGCTCCTGTGTGGTGCGAGTGTTGTAAATTTACAATGACATAATCTAATGGTGGAGTCAAACATGAGGATTACAGGTTCAATTTCTCAGTGAACACACGTGAATGTATGTGCATGGATGTGAAAGATGTCTTCTTAGGATGAATTTTGAGAGTAAAGCATTCAGAGTGTGAAGATGATTGTGCTGGAAACTGTCTGTTCAGAAGGAGAAACCACACGTGCGTGGAAAGATGGAACACTGGCAGCAACTCTAACTGGATTTGATGGACCAGAGGCGTTGACTTTATCCTCTGCATTTCAACGTTATCAACAAAATGCTGAATGTATTTATTTTGACTTTATTCTCAACATTTAGACTATTTTAGCTTTTAGATTAATCGCTAACTTAATGAGCCATGGATTTATGTTTTCACTGGCACTTGTTTGCTTGCTTGTTTGTAATTTAGCAAGATGATGCAAAAACTACTGGATTACTTATTATTTTGTGGATGGATGACACATAGGTCAGGGAACCACCCACTGACTCTGGTGTAGATCCGGATCAGTTTGCTTTCTTTCTTTCTATAACATTTTGAGAGGGCTTGAAATTGCTTCGAAAAAGACACAGTTCATTTGTAAAATCAAGAAAAACACATACATGTAGAAGATACAGCTAAATGGCTATCAATCATAGATTTAAATTTCTGCAACTTTCAAGTCATCAAATAAAAGACAGGCTTGTATCAACAAAGACAACCCACTTGTTGTTTTTGGGTTTCTTCACAGTATCTGTTGAAACACTTTTAACTGCAGGAACTGAGTCATCACATTTCTGGTAACAGTGATATAGAAAATAGCTGCCAACGTCTTAATTGTACATTAGCATCTATCTTCAGGCTCCAGTCTAACCGTCTAACCATCTGAAACCTTTTCCCATCCAGATAACTCGGTTATGTTTCCATATGTTGATGCACAGTTGAGACACAAATGTTGAGATTTGCGAAAGGGCAAAAACATTTGTGATTCACCTCCACACACTGACACATACCTTTGAAACACTATTTGATTAGAGGAAAATGTAATGACTTCACTTCAGCTATAATTTCCCTGGAGAGGCATGTGTTCTTTTTGTTAAATACATGCCTGATGTGATAGCTTTCAGAGGAGGTGGGTTAGTTAACAGCTTTGTCAGGAGGGTAGGGCTGTTAATTTTCAACAATTCACATGGCTTGTATTCAAATTACAGAGCCCCCTGGTGACATTTGAGAAAAAAACATAATTCATGGCCACAAGATAATAACAAATTGGAACAAGATAACTATGTTGTGTGTAAAACTTGAATAAGTTTTTCGGAAAAATGACAGAAATACAAGGGGGAACCAAGGACTGTATATAAAGATGGACACAATGTCCATCTCTGTTATTTCTTTTGCCTCTAGTCTCTCTGTCCCACCTTGCCGGCCCACACCCAGTAATATTTCCTTTACATTAGGACGAGTGCATCCTCCTCATGTCCATCGACCAGTGTAACATTAGCTTGGGTGGGGAAACCAGTGACACTGTTAGCTAATGCATGACTAGAACAGGAAGTGGAGCACTGCACTACAATCCTGTGCTCACTCATTCATTTCGATATGGATCAGCTCGAGCAGATGCAGATAATGGAAACAGTGCTGTGTAATGGTGGAAATCCCTGTAAAAGCCTCTGACCATTACATCGTCTAATTCTAGAAAGATCCCACTAATGGAGGGCTACTTTGAAGTCTGTCAATAGCTTGGTGCTCTTTGTTCTGTTTTAGTTCATTTGTTGCGTTATGATTATTAAATTCAAGCTCTGTTCTTTTTAAAGCATATTCATCTATTTCTAAGAACATCACGTAGAAAATATGCATTTTTCATTCATTTTACTTACATAACATCTCGAATGAGGTCAGATGACAAAGACAAAACAACTGCATTAAATCTGAAAGTAAATGAGACACTTCAAAACAGTGGGCGATTCCAAGTATGTCCCTCATTAAACTGCAATTCCAGTTTATTACAACTTGGATTCTATTTCTGTAGGTTTCAATCAGTTCCACTGATTATGGTGGCCTTGTACTGTTGATCTATTCTTTACCCATATGCTCATGTTTCACCAAATAACTGATACGCTACTCTGTCAAATGTAGAATCCCTTCCTATGTCTGACAAATGTATGATCAAAAAATGACTCATTAATTCACAAAGTAACTCTGCTTATGTAACACAAACAACAATTCTGCTACTTGGTGTCAATTTAATACGCAGATGAGGCAATACTGTGATCAACTTTATACATGGCCCTGGGACAAACTTCACAGATTGTGAATAAACCTGAAGTTAGCACAGATGACTGTCTGCGTGTGGAATTCCCCTCTGACATCCATATCTCCTTTACAGAGAGCGACACTGTCAACACACACTCTGTCTCTGTCTGTGAGTGTGTCTGTGTGAGCATTAATGATGAATAGCTCATTGATGTAGTTTTGGACTGTGACAAATAGGACATTGATCATCTGGTCTGAAACACAGGCACTCATCACACCAGCGGCTGTG